AGCTCTGTCAATTAACTAACATTCAAGTGTATTTTACCTTGCCTTACCACCCCCGAGGTAACAGTATCACGGAGAGAATGCACCGAACTTTTAAGAACATTTTATCAATAATGTGTGAAGATAACCCGCGTCGCTGGCCACGATTCTTGGGTCCGACCCAATATGCGTTGAACACTTCTGTTCACACAACGACTGGAGTGCAGCCACACTTCGCATTCTTCTCCCGGCATGCACAGAGGCAAGTGGGAATTGAGTTACCAATAATAGAAAACGAGAGTACTGAAGGGTTGAGAGAAGCTCACAAAGTAATTAAAGAAACTTCTGAACGAATGTCTAGAGAATTCCGGAACGTAGCAAACCGAGATAGAGTCAATCAGACAGTACAGCTAGGGGAAACTGTTTGGGTGAGAGATGAAGTTACTATCCCAGGTACCAGTAGAAAATTAAATGCTAAGTGGAAGGGCCCATATACAGTAACTGAAGTAATACGTAATGGTGCAGCGTATGAGTTAACCCACCTTTCAGATGAGACAGAAGTAATTCGACGAGCCGCAGAAAAGGTGAAAAGATGTATCAACAGAGATATGTTTGTCCATGTAAATGACATCCAGGTTCCCCCTAATGATTCTTCCTCAGAATCAGAGCCTGATGAGAGAGATGCTATACGGGATGAGGAGAGAACAGTAGTTGCTCCTGCTCCCCGATTTCCCGTAAGGATGAGAAAACCAGTGGTGAGACTGGATCTTTAAAAGCAGTGAGCTTTAAGTGACCCCCATTGGTTGATAATGAAGTGCACAATCAGTTATAAGTAACTGTGGAAAAGGGATAGGTAAAGAACTGATGATTTTTTTTTATTAAAAGTATTTTGCAGAGGAAGGGTCAATTTGCAGTAAAGACAGAGATTGGAAGATGGATTGGCAGTTATGCAATCATCTGAAGGGTATCTGTTACTAGTATGAGTAAAGATACCAGTGGTGAGTTCTCAAGTTCTGGTTGGTAAGTCCTACGTAGGCTGGGTTGTTGGTATATAGGTGTAGAGTTCGTGACTTTCAGGGAGTATTCGGGCATATAAATATGGTGCTATTACTTCTACATGGCAAATGCCATAAGTACAGACAGTTTTTGGTTTGGTGGTGTTCTCATGAGGACCGTTTCGTTAGCATTGAATTCTTGGGAATACCCGCTCGTTCGGAGTCCCTTGAAGGGTGCTGCCTCTCGCGAGTGCGACATAACTCTTTAGATTAAGGGCAACAAATCATTCCTTTGACTTGATGGGGTCCGTTCGTCTATGTCCTAGCTTGAGAAATCTATGTTAAATCTCAGTGTGTCCTGTCAGCATTTGACCAATCGCGTAAAAGAAACTTTCATAATCTATGAACATTGAAATTTGAGTTCTGTAAGGAAATTTTGAGTGTGCATTTTATCTACCGATGTGAGGGTGTATTTTGTAACATGTAACACCATTTATTATTATTATTATATGATATGAGGTATCTAACTCAAATCATTATTATTCTATGATGATGTACTTGACCCCATTTATTATTATATGATATGATGTATGTAACACCATTTATTATTATATGATATGATGTATGTAACACCATTTATTATTATATGATATGATGTATTTACCGCCATTCAGTATTATTATGACATGATGTACCTAACCCCATGTGCTATTATTTTTGGTGCTATTTTGTAATATGTATCCCAATATATTTTTTATGAAGGTGTGTCACATTCTAATTGTATGTTAACAGATTTCCATTTCTTGTACCTAATCCTGACCACCGGTAGGGAATTATTTTTCTAGTTTTATTGATATAATTTGTGCAATGTTTGTATGAGGATTTATACTTTATATTAATGATTTAATATGTATGTCACTACTTACGTGTTTTCTGAACGTTACCGCATAATGATGAATCTTGGGGAAGGGGGAAGCTTTGTAATGGTCATGATAAGAGCTAACCTGAAAACCTTAAGGATTCATATTACGCTCAAACGTCCACAAAACCTTCCGAGTCCCCCAGTGGAAACGTCCCCCGTTTTCTCTGTTTCCCCCGCCTTTGTCTATGGGAGCAGACGCTGTATGCTGGGACCTGTTGCCATCCATTCCTTTGTAATCAATTTAATTCTGCTTTCGATAGCTGAGTCAGAGCATTGTTAGTGAAGATAATAGTAGAGAATGAAAATGAGTTCATAGTCTCAAATTCAACGTCAGAGGGTACCGTAAATTAATTCATTGGAATAGGAGTAGCTGGACTCCCTGGCCTAGTTTGAGTGAGGGCGCCGCGGGCATTTTAACCGTTAGTAAGTGCCCGTCCCTTCATCCATACAGGTATGCCATTCCACGCTGTGTTGTAATTTGCCCTTCTTTAAGTGATTTGACCCAATTGATAGTTGATTGTGCAAGTGTTACAGTAACGTAGTTGATATGCTCTGAGTAAAGTCATATTTACGTCTTTAACGTCCCCTGAAACGTGTTGTTGTTGTCACCGTTAGTAAGTGCCCGTCCCTTCATCCATACAGGTCCCTAACGCAGCCTAGGCCGTGTCTGTAGGGTGGATGTTGTATCCACTATGTCTGGGGACATGTCCGAGGTCCAGTAGGATCAGTTACCTTCGTGAGACCCGGCCGTCAGACACTTCAGACCACCTATAGCCCCCATAGCTGGCTCGTCTGGCCCTAACGCTCGGTCCACGAGGTGACCCTGGACCACCAAGCCACACACCACTACCAGCCCCCCATCATTGGTGGATGAATGTCTACCTCAGTAGGGCTATATTTGTGTGGTGGAATTAACCCACTGGGATCTCCAGAGTTCGTCGGATAGTACTCCATGGTGGCTGGACCCCATGGCTGTTGCTTGAGTATCACTCCTGACGACTGAGTGTTGTAGTGGCAGTTGCTCTAATATGTATGGTGCTAAGTGACTATCCTAGTTGTGCTATTGAGTATGTCCACCCAGTAGGGTTGGAAGTGTATTGAATATGTCCACCCAGTAATGGTGTGAGTATGTTGAGCCTGAGGGCCTAGTAATAGATTTCGTCTGTTAGTACAAACCAATTTTTTCTTCTAATTTCATATTCATGTTTAAATAAACTTTGTATTTGTATAATTGTGTATATTATTTACCTACAGTATTTACCGTTATTTCTTCCCTATTGCTTGATACTATCATTACACCTACCCACGAGCCTCCTATCGTCACGCTACCAATGGTGATATATAAGAGTAACAGGAATTGTTACTGGCACACAGGCCCTCATGAATGGTGGCAGTAGCAGCCCTCATACAATTAATATGATATAACTGTACCTGGGTACAATACAACACATGGTCTAGTAACATTGAGTAGGTGAGTTATCCTTTATCAATGTTTCCCGTTTTCTGAGGTTCTACAAACGCGGTGGATTTGAATGTTAAAAAGCGTAATATGAATTAAATGGGGTTTTTAGGAATGACAGTGATGTGCGCAGTACACCCTGAGAGATTGGAGCGCCTGAACTTGCCTAGCTTACGCTACAGACGGGCAAGGGGAGACCTAGTTGAGATGTATAAGTATCTCAGGGGGCACTACTCAGTTGAGTGTCCTTACTTGGAGCTGGCGGACGCTCGCCCCACAAGGGGTCACATCTCAAGATTGAAGAAGCCGCAAGTCCAGAAAACCGTGAGGGCAAACTTTTTTGGAGTGAGGGTTGTAAACTCTTGGAACAATCTACCAGAGAGTGTTGTGACGGCACCGAGTGTGAGCTCTTTCAAGACAAGACTTGACCAACACTGGAGCGGGTTCAGGGACATTCAGGAGCCGGTGCATGCCCAGTATTTGCCAACAGTGCGTGACAGAGACGTGACCGATCGCCCAAGCGGCTAACAAGCCGATCAGTGGCGAAGAGGATAAAAAAAAAATACTGTAGTTAGCCATTTCCCAGGGCTAGCATAAGATATCGTTTTCTTTCATTCAGTATAAATTTGCAATTAATAAAACAAAACACTCATATAACCAATCTGTATCTTTTATATGTACATTATTTAAGTTTCGAATATTTAAATACAAGTGGGTGGGCGTACCATCAATGTAAAGAAGATGTCAAACTTTTAGGTTTACCGAGATTACGTTTGTTTACTATCTTGTAACCCAGAATTTCTTTAACTTCAACATTATACAACATATCAGTGACCCTCCTGGAGAAGCTTACTATACTCTAACGCTTATTCTACACTCTTTATTAGGAATCATAGTGAAGTAAAATACTCTCACAGTGTTTTAGCCAAAGATTTAATAACTTGTCAAGGCCCGCGCTGAGAGGCTAGATATCTATTAGAACAAACAAGAACTTTTAAATTTAAAAATAGTTTTATTTTATCATTCTGTGTGGTAATCGTTATTGTCAATATAATAACAAATATAACTTGAAAAAGACTGTATAACTTTTATTATTGAGTAATTGTTCTTAAGTTGGAATGAAATAATATTGGAACATTACTAGAGTTCTCGGACTGACTGGTCACCCTACCAACGGTTTTCATGCCGGACAACTACATTATACGCAAAATAATAAATATAATATATACTCGCCCTACCAGTTAGATGGGAAAATTAAATATATTATATGATTTTAAGTGATTATGACAACTTCCGTCAGATATTAGTAGTTTATGCCATTACTTATGTCCACTCAGTTCGATCACAATTAAAATATTTAAAACTTATAAATGAACATCATGATATTGTTGAATTTTATAAATTTATATTTTTATATATGAGCTCATGAAATATTACACACTTCCTTAAGAGGGGAGAGAAACTATAAGGCATGGGTGTTATTATTTTTACTATTATTAATGAGACTTAAGGTAATTAAATTCTACTTCAGTATTATAAACGAATAATAATTAATTAATAGGTTATTGGATTATGTAATTAAACTCTAGTATTATACAACTGACAAAATATTATCTATGTCATTAGTATATTCCTGATAATGGTGAGGGAGGGGCAGTAGTGAGGGTCAGGCTCCATGACGGGATGTGTTGTTGTTGAGTTGATGCTCTAACTTTATCACGAAATGCCGCTCCAAATGCAAGGAGGCCTTATGCAGGTCAGTATAAAAGACACCTCTTGGTTAAACATACCGATATAATCCCGTTTAATGTATATAAACCTCTGAAATACTGTACCTGAGTGATGAGGTGAGAGAGGAGTATTTGTGGGGTCAGCTGCCCGGTGGATTATCGTCCCTTTTACTCGCTCTTAATTTATCGTATCGTTATTTTTAATCGGTTTATTAACAGTTCGTATAATTTAGTTGGTAATATGTTTGTTATATGAGAGTTAAAGGTTATAATAGGGTGTGTGATTGACCGTCCTGGGTGTGTGTATCATGTCGACCATCATCTAGAGATTAGTGAGAAAAAATTTAATTGTAATCGAGTTCCGTCTTGATAATCCGGTGATATTGATGGTAAATTATGGTAATGAGACTAGAACTTGAGAGTGATTGTGATGATGGTGACTACACGTGAGGTATATTGTGGTGTGTCAAGTGTCCAGGCCATTAAACCAACAGTACAAGCTTTAGTTAACCTCTATAGTTATATTTTATGGATAATGTTCTATATAGTATGATTATTTATGTGTAGTGTGATGTTTGTACTGAGTTTTTACTTCTATATCTTTTCCCACAATTATCACAGTTAACAAATAAAAACTCTTTGCAGTATGGTAATTTAAGGTTGTTACAGTAATAAAAGTTTGCTTATTTTGGGTGTTTTATGTCAATTGTTTTACACTTAATGCAAATCTATCGCTGGAGCAAAGAAAAACAAACAATAAATAGTTTGAAGGCTGTGACCTCAGCCCTTTGGTGGTTCAGTGAATTAAAAAAAAAAAAAAACATCATTGAACTAAGTCTAATAACATGACCAACAACTGACCACTGCAAAACTTGTGTACTGTATAAACTATTAACTGGGGCATTTAATGTCAGTATTACTTGAGGTGTGAAAGGCATCTGTGGGTTACTTGCTGTTTCTTAACTCTTGGGGTCTTGATGAACGTATGTGGGTGAACTTTATAATCATATATGTGTATGAAGACTGGACTTGATACAGTGTTGTACCAAATTTTATATGAAACTTAAAATTACATACGCAATACAGTATATTGACTTAATATTGAAGATAATTGAGACTTCTCATGTTGATAAAGTTCATTTCCACATATCAGGAGACTGGTTACCTTTGACTGGCTGATTTCATCATGGACAGATCACAGACATCTGAGTCACAGCATGTTGACCATAACATCATTGAGAATGCTCGTGTAACTTTGATGTTTACTATCACGGCTTTAATATTTTCTCACTTTTTTTCTAAATTATTGAAAAATATCTTATTGCAGAAACGTGTGCCATACATAAAACAAGTTTTAGCTTGTACGGTTAAATGTTTACCATTACACCATAAACTTAATGAAGGATTTTCATAAAATAGTTTTTTGGGAAATCACAGAATGTAAATCCACAAGAGGAGCAAAGAAAAAATATTTCTTATTTTCTTTGGAAAGGTCAGTTAGGCCGTGGCTTCTACAGCTTTAGTGCTTTTTTTAATGAAAATAAACAACAGTATCACTTTCTAAATGTGATTTTGGCCAGAATTATGCATCAAGCAACATATACGTACTGTACTCGGATTTTGCAGTACAGTATAGTATACCATGGCTCAAATTTCCTGAAAAATATTTGCTGTTGTTGTCCAGCACCTGCTTTATTTAAACAAGAGTTTGGAGCTCCATTCATAGGAAAATATATGCATAGTTATTGGTAATTTATCATGTTTTATTTATTGTCTTGCACCATTTTTAACAATATGAGTGGGTGTATGTGGTTTATGAGATATATGTGGTATATGAAGATTATGTAGCAAGATTTTATAACTGAAATGTGATCAAACCTTCACAAGAAAACTTTCACCCATATTGTTGAAATCATAACCTAATAAGGAAGAGTAGCTATTATGTTTTTTTTAGGTAATGATTTTAAGTTACCTATCAAATGAAGGCTGGGCTGTACAGAGGATGGTAGAGTAGGCCTAGTTATGGTTTAAAAGTTGATGATATGGATATGAAAAATAATTAAAAACATTGAAAGTGAATTAAATGCATATAGCACTTGGTCAAAAAGCTTGGAAATACCTTTTGAGGAGTGCTAAACCCAGCAGTGAGTTAACAGTGGTTGAAAATGACAATGATATCAAGCCCTAGTTATCTAAAAGGAGAAATTAAGGAGCACTGTATAGTATCTGTCTTTGTCTTTATGAAGCTCTTGACCACAAGTGGCTAAAGGTACTGTAGTCTCTTGTATGGTTTCTGAGAGTTTGCTTGGAGGGATGTAGTTGTGTAAGTGGAAAGAAACAAGAGAAATGGGTTTTCTTACCTAAACTTGATAATTGGCTAATAATCCCTGTCAGGGCAGGGGTTTATGATTTAAAAGTGCATGCAATGTGATGCCAGACCAAATGAATGATTTCCGAGTTTATTCTGGTCAGACACATCATCATTAAGACAGTATTGTACAGTATATCAGTATATACGGTAGGGATTCACATTTAATATCCAGAAGTATTGTACAATACAGTATACAGTAAAAAGAATTCTTCATACTGTTATTAACTTGCTTAATCTCACTTCACACAAGCAGCTTAGCTTAATAATTATTGAACTAAACAGCTTTATAATTTGTAATTTAATTGTAACAGTTTATTTAGCCAGAAAAATACAGATACAGAGTGGATAATAATAACAATATTAACATGGCTGAGCCAGTTGAGAACCTGAGCTCTCTTTGAGGCACCTGATATATATTATACATTTATCTCAAGGAAGTATTATGTAACGTTTAGTATCATCTGGAATAGTACAATAGCATGGTAGTAATAAGTACATCTCATAGTGTTACCACGGTTATCACTTCAATATTTATTTATTTTATTATTTATTATTTTTATTTTTTATTTATTTATTTTATTTTATTTTATTTTTTATTTATTTATACATACATATACACATACCTATACATATATACACATATATACATATATATATATATATATATATATATATATATATATATATATATATATATATATATATATATATATATATATATATATATATATATATATATATATATATATATATATATATATACATATACACACACATACATATACATATAAATTAGAGTGGAATTTAAAAACATAAGTATAATGGGGGATCAGTACAACCTGGGTTGTGCAGTAATAAGGTTGAACAAGAGGACAGAGCTTTCAGGATTATGTCTAGTTGGCATTTATGTGTATTGCAATGGTAATTACTTATTTATTTACATGATAATTTCCGATAAAACAGATTTGGTGGTACAATAAAAGCAGGTACTGTAAATATAGTAAGTGTTACAAGAAATATTAATACTTCGACAATAGATATTTTTTTAGAGATGATTTAAAGGAAGGGAACGTAGTCTTTGCTCGGATGGGTGGGGGTAAGTTGTTCCATGCCTTCACACCATGATATTTTATGGAGGTCTGGGACTGAGAGGAGTGCATGGGGGGTGGTCTTAGTAGCTCTGGGTGCCTTAAGTTGTATCTCTGATTATTACGGAACTGGAAGTAATTATTGTCAAGCAAGTGATTGATAGATTTGTAAACAAAGAGGGCACAGCAGTAAGTGTTAATATCTTCGAATTTAAAAAAGTTCAATATAGCAAATTTTTCGTTTGTGTGATCTATTTTTTTCAAGTAGGTCATTGTCCGTACAACTTTCTTTGGTGCAGTAACCAGAGATTGTGTTTTTGAAGAGCCAGAGGCCCCCCCCCCCCATAGTGTGTGACAGTGTATCAGGTGTTGGTAAACAAGATCATGATAGATTTCTTTCATTGCTGTGAGAGTGACTGTCGAGTGTGATACATGATACCGCACTGTTTATTGATTTTACTGTGAATGGCTTGTATGTGGTTTCTCCAGTTAAGTTTCTCATCAACAATAACTCCGAGGAATTTAGTATATTGTTCGCGTTTGAGGACTATATTACCAAGGTACAGGGGGTTCAAGTCTGGAGGTAAGTTTTTTCTATAGTGAAAGATCGTGTAGTGGGTTTTTTTTAAGATTTAGGGTCAGTTTATTACGTATTACCCAGGTCCATTTCTGTGTATCATTTTTGGAAAGTGTTGAAAAGTGTTCCACAATTTCAAAACTCTTCTATCAATTCATTTCCTGCCTCAACAGATTCAATATACCTGTACTATGCTGTGCCACAGTTTACCCTCTCTGCATCCACGGCATCAACACTGACACACATGAGTACTCCTGTGGTAATTGGTTGTCAGTACTTGGAGGAGGAATAATTTTAACAGTAACTGACTTTGCGATTGATCCAGATATACAATGGACAATAGGGAATAGATTAAATAGTAGGACTATGATAAAAAAAGAAATCAACAGAGAATGGGTAAGGAGAAAAGAGAGAGTACTCTTAACACATTGAAGGAACATGTAGTTTATGGAAGAGTATAAGGGTATGACACTGCCATCCTTCTTGGTTTTAAAGTGAATTTAGTACAAATATTATTAGAGAGAACAGTACAAAGGCTTGATATTCCGATCCTATGGTAGATCGTTACATAAACACTCGAGTCTTTCAACTATATCAGTATTTATTATTATACAGGTAGTTCTGCTATAACGCGATAATTGTGTTCTTGTAAAATATCGTGTTATAGAAAATCGCGTAATAGAAATAACAGGGCTTATGGAGAAAATAGGGTTAGGTGCAGATTACTCGAAATCGAAAAAATTTAGTAGTTAGCCTAACACAAAGGATAGCACAGTCTAAATAAATGTTACATTCATATCTAATAATGAAATCATACAGTAAATGTAACACTTTACTTGATGGGGGAGAAGGGTGATTTTGAGGTTGATAAAATCGAGCTTCTCTTCAAGTGTTATATCCTTTCTTTTACGATCATCACCGGGAATTCTATCACCAGAACGCTTCTTGTTGATATTCTTCTTTACTATATTCACAGTTAATACAGTACCA